GGTGGGCATTATTCTAGGATGCACATCTTTCTTTGTATCATCGTATGTGGTCGCCTTCATCAAGAATACCACGCTCGCTGGGATCCTCGTATCACTTGTGCCTGCGTTCATGCTTCTTGCTGCAGTGGGTAGTATATTCACCGCGAAGTTCGCAACTGCAATGTCTGAGAGGATCGCCTCTGCTTCTTCAATCGCCTCAGAGGTTCTTGCAAATATCCCAGTTGTCCAGGCCTTTGGCGCAGGTCCTCGGCTGGAGGCCATCTTTGCTGAGAGAATGAAGGGAGCTCGAAAACAAGGTATCAACAAAGCTTTCGTTGCCGCTATCCAAGCTGGAATGCTTTATTTCATTGCTTACTCTGCCAATGCCCTTGCTTTCTGGCAGGGTAGTACACAAATTGCGAGCATGGTTGAGGGTAATGGCGGTGCATCTGTCGGTGACATTTATACCGTCATTCTTCTGCTGGTGGATGGTATGTGTCTCCTTGGCTAAATTGACCCTTTGACTGACTCAAAATAGCCTGTGTTGTTCTTGGCGGTATTGCGCCCCTGCTCCCTTTGTGTGGCGCTGCTGTTGGATCATTTGAAAAACTACGTGAAGATATGGACAGCCCTGCAAACATCGACACTGGATCCGACAAAGGAGAGAGGCTCTCTTCAGTCGAAGGAACTGTATCGTTCAGAAACGTCTCCTTTGCTTACGTCTCACGACCTCATCACTCCGTTCTCAAGAACGTCTCCTTTGATTGTCCTGCTGGCAAACATACGGCGCTCGTCGGCTTGTCAGGTAGTGGCAAATCAACTGTCGCTGGTCTTACATCCCGAATCTATGATCCCACTGAAGGCACGGTCCTACTAGATGGTCACGACCTCAAGGACTTGAATGTGAAAGGCTTGAGAAGCCACATGAGTCTTGTGCAGCAAGAGCCATCTCTCTTGGATCGATCCATCGTAGAGAATATAGCTCTCGGTATCCTGAACTCACCTCAACTCGAGCATGAGCGATTCAAAGCTACTATTCTCGGCACTGGCCCTACTGAACTTGCTGCTAAGCTCCGACGGGGTGAAGATCTTGCGACTGCAGCTCAGGGATTTGGTCAGGACATGATTGACTTAGTTGATCGTGTTCAGGAGGCTGCCCGTCTGGCGGATGCATCTAGTTTCGTGGACAGACTTGAGTATGGGTACGGAACTCTTGTTGGTACAGGCGGAAAGCTTGTAAGTGGCGGTCAACGGCAGCGTCTTGCACTCGCAAGAGCCCTCATTCGCGACCCCAAGATCCTGATCCTCGATGAAGCCACTGCTTCCCTCGATTCTGCAAGCGAACACCGTATCCAGATGGCCATCGAGTCTGTCGCCAAAAACCGCACTGTCATTGCAATTGCTCACCGTTTGTCAACTATAAAGAACGCCGATAACATCATCGTCATGAACAGCGGCGAGATCATCGAACAAGGAAACCATCTGGAGCTCATGGCCTTGAACGGATCATACGCTAGTATGGTGCGTTTGCAGACGATCGACTCTTCAGATGCTGGTTCGACCACAAGCACCGTCCGTACTGATAACATTCACTCCGAGAAAGATTCTATCACAGATCTTAAGGCAAAGGACATTGAACAAGAGGTGACAGAAGATTCAAAGGAAGACAATGTCAAGGAGAAGGAGGAAACCTCCGAGGGAGACGCTGCTCTCGATTCCAACAAGTCCGCTTGGACTGTCATGAAAACTATCAGTGGAATGGTCCGACCATATCTCCTTCTCGTCATTGTCTGTCTCTTTGCTGCCACTATCGTTGGTCTCACTTTCTCCTCCTCTGGTCTTATCTTCGGTTACACCATCGACAATCTCAGCCCATGTAATGCTGTTGAAGACATTCGTTGGGCTGGTAGGTTCTTTGGAGGTATGTGGTTCCTGATAGCTTGTGTCGAGTTGCTGGCCAATACTACAAGTTGGACTGGCTTCGGTATGGTTGCTGAGAAGTTGTTGTACAAGATCCGAGTACTCTGCTTCCGCTCCCTTTATGAGCAAGACCTCGATTGGCATCAATCAGAGGGTCGCACACCGACTGCTTTGTTATCTGTTATCACAACAGATGCCGCTACCGTTGGCGGGTTCAGTGGCTCCATCATCGGCACAATCTTCTCCATCGTAGTCAACTTCTTGGTCGCTATCATCCTCTCGCACATTCTTGCTTGGAAGATTGCCATTGTGTGCTTAGTTATCGTCCCTATTCTCCTTGGCTGCGGCATTATGCAGCTTCGGTCTCTGTCTAAGTTCGAGCGCCGCCATGCTGGAGCATTTTCTGGTGCAGTTGGCATCGCTAACGAAGCTGTCAACTCCTTCAAGACCATTTCGTCGCTATCTATCGAAGAAGAAGTCATGAGCTTTTATCGTCGTGCACTCAGAGCACCTCGAAAGGAAATTACCCTTGCTTCCATGTATGCCAACTTGTGGCTTTCTCTGGCCAACAGCACAGGAAATCTGATCTACGCATTCGCCTACTGGTGGGGATCAACTCGCATCACTGCAGGCGAAGCAAGCCAGCGAGAGTTCTTTATCATTCTCATCTGCATGCTTGTCAGTGCACAACTCTGGGGTCAAATGTTTAGTCTTGCCCCCGAAGTATCTCGTGCTAGAGCTGCCGCTTCCCGCATTCTGAGCTTGATCAACCTCGGATCGTCCCAGGATGACGCCAAGAAGGGAAAGCTAACGCTCGCTATTGAAAACACCGAGAAGGATGTTGAAGCTTGTGCTGAAGCTCCCGTCAAGAGTAACGGAAGCAAGGGAGCGACCATCGTCTTCAGGGATGTCAAGTTTTCATATCCAGCTCGACCTCACATCCAGATCCTGACAGGCATGTCTTTTACCATTTCTGCTGGTCAATTCGTTGGGCTTGTCGGTCCTTCAGGTGCCGGCAAGTCTACCGCCATGTCGCTAGTGCAACGTATGTACCGTCCTTCAAGCGGAACCGTTGAGATCAACGGCAGCGATATCTGTGCTCGTGAAGGCACCGAATTCCGCAATGATATTGCAGTTGTCCCTCAAGACTGTGCCCTCTTTGACGGAACAATACGATTCAACGTATCGCTAGGCTCAACACCTGATCATGAACCGACAGATGAGGAGATCCACGAAGCTTGTAAGCTGGCTAATATCCACGACGTAATCATGGAGCTACCCAACGGTTACGACACTGAGTGTGGTCCTAATGGCTCGCGTCTTTCGGGTGGACAGCGTCAGCGTTTGGCCATCGCCCGTGCCCTTGTTCGTAAGCCCAAATTGCTACTTCTTGATGAGAGTACAAGTGCCCTCGATGCTGAGAGTGAGCGGGCATTGCAAGAGGGACTTGAGAGGGTTGCACGTGGTATTACCGTGATTGCCATCACACATAGGCTTCACACGGTACGCAAGGCCGATGTCATCTTTATGATTGAAGGAGGCAAGGTTGTTGAGAAGGGAAGACACGAGGAGTTGGTGGAGAGAAGTGAGACATATCGCACAAATGCCCTACAGCAGATGCTTGGAAACTGAAGTTGAAGAACCTACCCCCACGCTCCAGGGAAGGCCAGAAAGTAGGACCAATTCTAAGTGACAAAAAGCCTTAGGTTATGTTAGTATAGATTTAGTAGGCGTTTAGATAGGTTAATATTGACACCCTAGGTTTAGGTCAGAAGTTTTCTTGCTCCCGTCCCTGACGCCTGAAGCCAACGCCTGGCCTCCACCTCTTCTTCAGTGTCTCAGCCGATAAAATGTAGAGGGTGCAGCCTCGTGAAGTCATCCTGTCAATTCAGGGGATCTGCCCACGTTTTCTATCATGTGATGACTCTTGGACACACCAACATTTTGCATTTTTGGGTCTGTATTTTTATTCCCCTTATTTTGAAAAAAAAGACAATACATGCTGATATATCATGCATTTCCGTGGAAACTTTTGTCGTATTTACAAGGGTCCTGGAATAGTGGATGAAACGAGAATGAATCTTTAACTGTAAAGTAAATTACGTGTAAACAGAGGATAACGTAATGAAACTTCGTCTAAGCAACAACAACGTGTCTATATATAGGCGTTGTATATAAAGCTGGAATCGACCTCTCAAAATCGACTTATTTGTTACTGCAGCTGCAACTTCAACTTCTGCAAGTCCCGAAGAACTCCAAAAGACGACGTCACAGTGTACAAGGATCAATCTGCACGGAAACTCAAAGCCGGCCTATCATGAGCGGCTTCGGTGATCCTTTGTAGCAAGTATCCGCATTAACTAACCCCTTGACTTGCGTGTTGCTTCATTCTCGACAATTGCCCTGGATTTGGCTCTTTGCATTACAGCCAAGCCTCACTTATCCTTCATGTATCCTCATGTGATCGCTTTGTCTAAAACTTAACAAGGTTTGGTTTACTTGCTTTGACCCTACAGAACGCGGTGCGGTACCGGTGGAGACGTTAGTGGTGTACCTTTTTTTGGGTTCAACGGGGCTGCCGCGACGATTTCCTCATCCACAGTCCAGAGTCCACTCCAAGAGGATCTTAACACTACCGCTACGGGCCTTGACACCCAATTGGGACCCTCGAACCACATGCCTTCCGTCACCGGGACACACTCCATCTTGTCCAATACTTCTTGGTTGATAATAGGAAAAATCTAACTCGGTGGTCCAACCTCCAAGTCGCAACCATTTCCTCACCACCACCCCTCGACGATCCCTCCTCTCTTCCCGGCGTTGCACTCACCACGTTTCAAACCCGCCTCAACGACGCCCACCCGAGACGAGGAGGGAGTGCTGCTGCCTCCCTGTTAGACGACCCAGTTCCGGTACCAAAGCAGCAGTATCAGCATCACCGCGACAGTAGTGCAAATACGAGCACCAGTGCCCACCAGAGCGAGCAGTTTGAACTCGTCGATTATCCTCCCATTCAGGCTCGTCGAGACGCCCAAGATCGCGAAGCAAGAAGACAGGCCAAACGAGACGAAAAGCGCCGCTGGCTAGAAGAACAAGACGAGATGAAGTTCTCTCATAGTATTCAGTTCAATGCTGTTCCTGACTGGAGCAGTCACTACATTGCATACAGCAATCTCAAGAAGCTGTACGTTCTGCTAACATTACATTCAAGCCACAACTGAGCTAAACTTATCTTCTCACAGAATCTACAACCTCGAAAAGACCGCCCATCAGGCGCGCGGAACCACTGGTGATGCCGAATCCCGACCTCTTATAAACCAAGAAGATGCTGAAGAGGTCTTCTCTCGAGCTCTTGGCGTCGAGCTAGAAAAGATATGCTCATTCTACGTTGCCAAAGAGGGCGAGCTTCTCGAAGAAGCTGCGCAATTGCTACGCGACGTTGGCGACGAGGCCGAAGATGCCATTGCCGATAACCGTTATCTTCGCAGGCTCTCTGTTTCATCAGCCCACCGTCCTGGTGGTCGCAACGGCTTCCGCTCGAGAAGTCCTCGAAGCCGCAGCACCGACAATGAAGAGAGCGCGAGCGAGGAAGAAGATGAGACTACTGGGCTTACAACAAGGCGACGAAGCAGCGGAGGCCGCAGGCGCACACTTCCCAGCATCCATAAGCCACGTTCTGAGGATCTGAACGCTTCCTCCGAGTTCGGTCGTGATATGAGGAGGCACAGCACCACAGCCGACGAAAACGATGATCAAGCTCTCATGTTCTCTTCTGGCATGTTTTCGTCAGGTATCATGCTCAAGAAGCGTATTATCGGCCTCTACGTGTCACTCTGCGAACTCAAGTCATTTATTCAGCTTAACCGTACCGGTTTTGCCAAGGTTCTCAAGAAATTTGACAAGATCCTCGATAAGGAACTCAAGGGACCCTATTTGCGAGCCCATGTCGAGACAGCCTACCCTTTCAAAGATGAGACAAAGCGTGTTCTCGAGGAGAACATTACCAAGATGGAGAAGGCATACGCAGAGATCGTCACTGGTGGAGATGAGGAGCTTGCTCGCAAGGACCTCCGTTCGCATCTCAGAGAACACGTTGTTTGGGAGCGCAATACCGTCTGGCGAGATCTTATTGGTATCGAGCGCAGAGCGGAAGCTGCGGGCTTAGGTCAGGCGCTTCTCGGACAAGAAAGAGGAAATATCACAAGGAGATTACAAGGCGACGAAGCCAAGGCACCACGAGAGACCCAGTTCCGCACGCCCTTTGGCAAGATCACCTTACCTCCATGGCTAGCCAGTTCATCTCTGTGGACACTAGTTGTCTGTCTTACTGTCTTCTCCTTATTGCTTCTGCTCCCCATCATGGAGAAGCCCGAGCAACAGAACTGTCTGGCAATGCTTGTCTTTGTCAGTTTGTTATGGGCCACCGAGGTAAGCTTCCCAGCCAGACATATTCGCAATTGACCATTGCTAATCTTTTTAGACCATCCCCCTCTTTGTAACATCATTGCTTATCCCATTCCTCTCTGTTGTCTTGAATGTCGTTCGTGATGAGACACCAGGCAAGCCTCAAAAACGTCTCGACTCCAAGGCAGCCACATCTGCCATCTTTGCTGCCATGTGGACGCCTGTCATCATGCTTCTCCTCGGTGGTTTTACTCTGGCAGCTGCTTTGTCCAAGTGTACTATTGACAAGCGACTGGCAACTCTTGTTCTTAGCAAGGCCGGCACTCAGCCCAAGACTGTGTTGATTGCCAACATGTTTGTGGCTGCTTTTGCATCTATGTTGATCAGCAATGTCGCGGCTCCTGTTCTATGCTATTCTATCATTGAGGTGAGTCAATCAAGGAAACGAATCAAGTCGTAAACTGACAATTGTGTAGCCCATGCTGCGAACATTGCCATCTGATTCCAACATGTCGAAAGCTGTCATCATCGGTATCGCACTCGCCTCCAACATTGGTGGAATGCTCTCACCTATCGCTTCTCCTCAGAACGTTGTGGCGATGGGCATCATGCAACCCGCGCCCACGTGGCTGCAATGGTTCTTTATCGTCATTCCTGTTGGCGCTCTCTCGATTGTTCTGATCTGGCTCCTCCTACTGGTCACCTTCCAGCCAGGCAAGGGTACCACGATTGCCCCTATTCGGCCCGTCAAGGAGAAGTTCACTGGTCTTCAGTGGTTCGTTACTATCGTCACCGTCTCTACCATTGCTTTGTGGTGTGCCAGCCACCAGCTTGAGGCCGAATTTGGAGACATGGGTGTTATTGCTATTATCCCCATCGTGCTATTCTTCGGTATCGGCTTGCTGACCAAGGAGGACTTCAACAACTTCCCATGGACCATCATTATCCTTGCAGCCGGTGGTTTGTCACTGGGCAAAGCTGTACGCTCGTCTGGTTTGCTACATACCCTTGCCGAGATCGTCTCTGAGAAGGTGGAGGGTATGAGTCTGTACGGCGTCCTGGTTGTGTTCTCGACTCTGATCTTGGTTATCGCAACATTTATCAGCCACACAGTCGCAGCTCTCATCTTCCTGCCTCTTGTCTTTGACGTTGGTGTTGCCATGGACCAGCCTCACCCCAACCTGCTTGTCATGGGTGGCGTTCTCATGTGTAGTGCAGCCATGGGTCTGCCAACCAGTGGATTCCCCAACATGAGTAAGTTTCATCTCTTTACCCGTAATAACTCAAATCTAACCTATCATAGCTGCAATTATGAAGGAAGACCCCTTCGGCCAGCGTTACCTACAGGTCAAGCATTTCATCAGCCGAGGTGTACCCAGCAGTCTCATTACTCTTGTTGTGGTCGTGACTCTTGGCTATGGAATCATGCAAGTTGCGGGACTTGACTAAAGCAATTGATATGTGGGTTGTTGTCTTTGGTGTTTGAAATTGGGTGATATTTTACTTGGTTCTGTTAGATGCATTGCCATATTCATGAGTGTAGATCAAGCGTGGGATTCGTAGACTGGGAGTAATTACTGTTTTTTTGTTCTTCGATTGAATATGAACTACTGCGAATAAATCTGGTTATACCAACAGTCTTATTACTTCCATTCAATGTAATTATATTAGTGTGAATTCGCACTGTTGTACTGTACCGCAGTAAAGCAAGAAGCTCTGGCCATCCGTTGACGTCGATGGTTGGCGGCATGATCCTGCCACCAGATACCGACTCCCAACTATCATCTACCTTACCTACATTACCTACCATTCCTGTCCATTAAACTGCCCAAACACCAACAACACCGAGCACTGACTATCGATCTTGGTATTTTATGCTTCGGACTTGTCGATATCGTCTTCGCTTGGCAAATCGTGCACTTGCCTGACTCTTGGACCGACTGATGTGCCTCTTCTCCCAATAGCCTCTACAGCTTCGAGCTGGCCGGCGCCATGCTCTCCGCTTTCACAGCTCGTCCCATTATTGAGCTGCGACAAAAGGATAAGTCCAAGATTGAGACAATACTCGCTCACGGTATGCGCATATTATCCCGCTGTCGCTGCTCTTTCACCGCAGTTTCTAGGACACCGACTAACTAACTCTCGGCTCTCAGGTGACCGCGTTCTCGTCGGCCTTAACAATGGCGCACTCCGAATCTACCGTCTAAACGAGCTTGCCGATCAACCTCAGAACGGTTCCGCCGACACAAATGCCAATGGTTCGTCGTCTGCGGCGGACGACAACCATACTGCTGCGCAAAGGTCAGAAAAGCCAACTGATTTGATGCGCGAGGTGGAACGTTTCTCGACGCGAGCAATCGAACAGCTGGCTGTAATAAAGGACGCAAACACGATTGTGTCCTTGTCGAACTATCACGTTTCTTTTCACGATCTCAAAACATACGAACTTATTGAAACCCTAAGCCGGACCAAGAACGCATCATGCTTTGCGTCAACATCGAATATTGTCAAGGATCCGGACACGGGAATCCCCGAGATCGTGAGCCGGCTGGCTGTTGCGGTCAAGAGGAAATTACTACTCTGGAGCTGGCTTGAGAGCGAGCTTTCCGAGGATGTGGACGAGATCGTGCTAGCTGAGTCGATTCGATCAGTAACTTGGGCAAATGCGACAAAGCTGGTTTGTGGTATGAATGGCGGATACGTCATGGTCAACGTCGTTACACGTGAGGTCGAAGATATCGTGAGTCCTGGTTCAGGGCCAGCAGCCGGCCAGACTAGCCGATTTGGTGCAATGAGCAGTGCTGGTATGGGGTACATGGGATTGGGAGGGTATATGCCCAAGCCTTTGGCGGCCAAATTAGCCGAAGGAGAAATGTTACTCGCAAAGGATATCAACACACTATTCATCGATGATGACGGAAAGCCCCTGGACAGACGGCAGATTCCCTGGAACCATGCCCCTGAGTCCATAGGGTACTCGTACCCATATATCCTTGCCTTGCAAGCGCCTTCAAAAGGCTCCCTGGAAGTTCGAAATCCTACCACGCTATCATCGCTTCAGAATCTATCACTACCGGGCGCTGCTCAGCTTCACTTCCCGTCGCCCACTTACAGCTTAGCACATGCCGGGAAAGGTTTTCACATCTCAAGTGAACGATGTGTCTGGAAGATGGACTCAACAGACTATGACTCTCAGGTTCAGGAACTTGTAGACGGTGGCCACTTCGATGAGGCTATTAGCATTCTCGAAATGCTTGAAGATGCATTGCTAAAGAACAAGGCGCAGACACTCCGCGAGGTCAAGATGCTCAAAGCTGAAGGGCTATTTAAGAAGAAGAAATATCGCCAGGCGATGGATCTCTTCAACGAGGATACCGTACATGCACCTCCTGAACGAGTTCTTAAGATGTTCCCTCCCTCCATTGCTGGAGAACTATCTGCGTGGGCCGGCCGCGAGGAAGAAGAACAAGAGTCAGATGAGGCACCGGGAACACCGAAGAAAGCCAATGGCACGCGTCCCACCACCCCTGAACCAGTTGAGCAGGCACAGGAAACCCCGCAGTCAGCTAAAGGGGGGTTCGCCAGATATCTTACCGGAAGCTATAGGAGGCCCCAGTCGGATACCGCATCCATCCTCTCAAAGAAGGATACGACGGAGGGCGATGATACTGCTAGTGTGAAGGAGACTGAGTCAAACGAAGATCTGCCTTTGAAAGACAAGGACTTGACAAACGCGGTTCTGGAGCTCAACAGTTATCTGGCTGGAACACGTGCTCGATTACAACGGGTGATTGATCCTGTTACTGGAAATCTGAAACCTCAAAGTGATCGAAATGGTTCAACAGAAGAAATAGCAGAGAAATTCCTGCGGATAGGGCTTGATGATTCTGAGAAGAAACTTGAAGAGGAATTCCGAAATACCTTCCGTCTAGTCGACACAACTTTGTTCCGAGCATACATGTTTTCTCGGCCAACTCTAGCAAGCTCTCTGTTCCGAATTCCTAACTTTTGCGACCCTAATGTGGTCAATGAAAAGCTTTTGGAACACAATCGATACACTGAGCTGGTGGATTTCTTCTACGGCAAGAAGCTACACAAGGAGGCTTTGGAACTTCTACGGCGATTCGGAGCTGCTGAAGAACCAAATGAAGCCGCGCCAACACTTCACGGACCGCAGCGCACCATCCAGTACCTCAAAAATCTACCTCCGTCAGAAATTGACCTCATACTTGAGCATGCAGAATGGACCCTCAAAGCCAGTCCAGATGAGGCCCTGGAGATCTTCACAGGCGATACTGAGAATGCGGAGACCCTCCCACGAGATCGGGTTGTCTCTTTCTTACACGATGTTGATACACAGTTGGAAGGGCGTTATCTAGAGCACGTCATCACTGAGCTCGAAGACATGACACCAGACCTTCACGACCGATTGGTTGAACTTTATGTAGAAAACTTGAAGAAGATAGACAAGGGTGAGAAGTGGGATGAAATGATGAATCACTTCATCGAATTCTTGAGACAACCAGGGCAAGTTTACAGTCTCAGCAGGGCGTTTAGGTTGATTCCCAGAGATGGTAAGATTCATATACTATTGTGTGTTGACCTATACTGACTTGTATCAACTTAGACCCAGCATTTTACGAAGCACAGGCTGTGGTATTGAGCAACATGAACCAACACAAACAAGCGCTCGAGATTTATGTGTTCAAGATGAAGGACTACCAGAAAGCTGAACAGTATGACATTCACCAGTTGTTCCATAGGCTCACATGCTGACTTTAGTAGATACTGTAACCGAGTCAACTCGGTTCAAGATACTGCTCCATCATCTCAACCGAATGAGAAGAACGAGACTGGAGAGGATCCTGAGAATTCTACACCATCTATTTATCACACACTTCTATCGCTTTACCTTCAACCGTCACCACCCAACCAGCCCAATCTCGAACCAGCACTCGACCTTCTTTCGAAGCATGGATCACGTCTCCCGGCAACATCAACTCTGGGACTCATTCCAGATGACCTTCCCGTTCGGTCACTGGAGTCTTACTTCCGAGGCCGCATTCGATCGGCAAATAGTCTAGTAAACGAGGCAAGAATCGTTGCTGGTCTGCGACAGGCTGAAGGCATCTCTATCGCGGCGCGGCTGCACCTTGGTGACGATGTACAGGGAGGGCAAGGTGGGCGTAATAGGCATGTTACCATCACAGACGAGCGACACTGCGTCGTGTGCCACAAGAAACTCGGAGGAGGTATGCGTATTGGTGGAAGTGTTGTAGCTGTGCTGCCGGATAACACGGTGGTGCACTACGGCTGTTTGAACCGGGCAACAGGGAACAAGGTAGACGCATCCCAGGCGCCAAGTTGGGGTCGAGGATTTTAGACGGGTCGTTATTCTGGATGGGAGCATCGTTTCGGGGAGCATTTGCATGGATTGGATCGGTGGTAGCCAGTATGATATTTCTCAAATACCCTTCATATTCAAACACATCTGGCCGTTAAAGGGTTTGCAGTAGTTCGTGAGGATATGGTTCCCTCAATCCTCCTCTTCCTGCACCTCCTCGCCATAGTTCTCCTCCTCTTTAGCCTCAGCCGCGGCATCCCTCGCCTTGTCCTGCTCCATTCGCGCTGTGAGCTCTTGGTTGATAGTGGCTTGGGTATTAGCGACAGAGGCGCGCAGAGTCTTGAGGTATGACGACTTGTCGGCCGTGGAAGCTGTAGATGACATAGCTGGAAGTGTATGGGAAACCTTGAACGGTTCACTCTCTGGGGAAGTGTAGTCTGCGGTGAGAGTTGGTTGCGACATTTTGAGGATATGGTTATGTTTGGAGTTGGAAGAAGGTCGAGGTCTAGGCTTGGATGTGGTGTTTTGACGTGGGGTTATTCATAACCCCACATCCAATACTTGCAATTGTTCTTGTCAATGGAGATATAGGGTGAGCTATGATGGAATAATTTCCATCACGAAACAAGGTCAATAATATACAATTCCACATATAGCTACTAGAGGTATTTACAATCATATATGTTTACACGACCTCACCTTAATATATGTTTGCAATAAATGGGATTCGAGATTTAATCCCGTTCTAAGAGCCAGGTTAGTCAGCGAAGTGGCTTACTGAATGATAATCTGGACTACTCCAGGTTAAGCTATTAGTTCATGCGCATTCCTCCACATCAGCTTAACATTGATAAGAACTCCTGATAACTACTCTGTCATTCCCGTTGAGAGGAAGCGACCGACCCTCACCGAATCTCAGAAACGCCGAAACAAACCCCAAACACCTTTCCTACTTAGGACCCTGTCGATCCGGGCTCGCATCTCTTTGGGTCTCAAGATGTAACAACGGCCCAGGAGCCGCATAAAACAACAATGCAACCCTCACGCTCTCAACCCCGCGGCCCCGGCAGCTTCGCTCCTCTATCGAGCTCATCCGCCCAACCCTCGCAGCTTTCGACATCCTCAAGACCTGCTCTGCGCCGAGTAGAGACCTCAGACGACGAGGATGAGACACCTCGACCGTCTATCACAATACCTAAGTCGCGACCGCCACCTCAACCACAACCATCATCCCCTGCGACCCCGATATATGCCCAATTCACAACCCATGGAAACTCTAGTACTGCGAGCTTAGGACATCACAACTTTTCAAGGCCGGCGAACGCACGGTCTGTTACCCAGGGATCACCAGCGACGCTTGTCAAGGGCCATGCACGCAAACATTCAGCGACACAGGGCTCATTCGAACCTACGCTACCATCTATGAGTACATCGAATCTTTCCTCACACCTCGGAATGTCTCACCATAATATATCGACCGCTTCTGCGTCAGCGGCAGCGGCTGCTGCAGCTGCCGCCACAGCCTCCAATGTCAACTTGTCGGCAAGCCAGATTGCAGCGCAGGCAGCTGTCATGTCGCACCAGAATCATTCGCGCCAGAGGTCGCAGACAGTGCCTTTCCCTGGCGATCAAAATGATGGAGTACGTCGCGGAAGCGGAAGTAAGGGGCCTACGAGCCCCCCTATGCTGAGCTTGACGGAGGCGAGTGCGCCGCGGGACACTGGGTTTGGGAACCATGGAGGACATGGTGATCGACTTGGCGGGCCTCACTCTTCTGCTGCCACAGCTGCCGCCAATGTCGTATTTCCTCGATCTGGTCACAACTCCCCGAGAGCGTCGCCTCAGCCATATTCGCAACCGCCGCCTCCACCCCCTGCGTCTGAGAAGCCGTATAAGCCAGAGAAGCCAAAGGTCAAGCTATTCTCCCGCCCAGGCAAGATTAGCACAAAAGGTGAGGCGAAGGAAAAGCCTTTGCCAAGTCCAGGAAAGATTGGCTCGGCTCTATCAGCCCTTCAGCGCGGTAACTTCAGTACAAATAGTCTCGTTGACTCGAGCAGTCAGTCCATATACAACCTTACCAACTCGTCTTCAGCCACGATTCGGCCTATTGAAACACCTACCGAGGACAGAGAAAGGGATAAGGAAAAAGGCAAAGAGAAGGAAAAGAAGCACCACTTCCTTTCACGGCAAAAGCACAAACTCAAGGATGAATATCATCTCCCGCTATCATCAGCTGCCAGCAATTCGTTACCAACAGATCCCAATGCGCCAAATCCTTTATATAACTTCAATATTCCTCCGAGCCCTGGCCCCAACTCCTCTACTTTTGCTAAGGCCAAGAAGGATAAGAAACTGGGTGAACGATCTGATAGTCGCCTGGAGAGCGAGTCAAGTTTCAATCTGCAGAGCGAATGGCCAGGACCCAGTAGTCTACCGTCTCTGTCCCAGCAGTCGACAATGTATGACCCTGTTGACCCTGGAAAGCTTGGCCTTCACAACCACATGTCGCTGGACGATGCGTGGCCGTACCTGAAGGCAAAGCTATTGGCCATATTTGAAGGGGAAGATCTGCGTCTTCCCGTAGAAGACTTTAACCGAGTTGTACAGATGCATATACAGTGGTGCATGCATAGACGCTCACCAAATACCATGTTGGAGGATCTTCGAGAACTTTTACACACAGGGTTCTTGTCACTCGACCGAACGTTACGACAGACCCCAGAAGACCGATTCATCCCAACCCTAGTTGAGCTCTGGATGTTTACTTTTACTTCTATACTGCCATATATGCAAGCCGTCTTCCTCCCACTCGATATGGAGGTGTCAGGGTGTGGTACGCTTATGACTGGAGAGCAGGCACGCGACTTCTGGGGCGGAGCTATAGCGTCCGCATCTACTTCAGAGAGACCAGCTCGTGTAGCACCGGCACCAGCAGTTCTCGATGTCAGGAGGCTGGTTCTCATCGCTTACAGAGATACTGTCATTCTACCGCGATACGAGACACTCAAGACAATATTCTCGCGACTATCTCTTGAGTTTCTGCCATCGTCACTTGCAAGTATGGCCATGTCTTCTCCCCCGGAAGCATCACTGTCCACCTCCCCTTCTGAATCTTTCGGCCGGCCCGGCACAGCTATGTCTCTTGACCCGTCTAATGCTTCCTACAATTCTACGAGCACAACCCTTCTCGGTGAAGGATCGGCAGGCGGTCGTAGCCGTGCCATCAGCAACGTCAGCTTCGGCAGTCATGGTAGTGATGGTGGTCTACGACCTTTCACGCCGTCTGGTGGCGGAATCCCACCACCGCCTTCTCTGGGCAGCCTACGAGAACGTGAGCAGAATGTCGAGGACTCCAAGCACATCACTGAGATGGTTGGTCGGATGTTGCAGTGTATGAGTGTTCTATCGGGCGTGTCGGCGGGTGATGCAGGTGCTGAAGGCAACGAAAGGGTCGTAGAGCTGTGTAAGATGTTGAAGCTTAACTGGCTTGGCAGAGGAAGGACGGGAAGAAACAGGAGAGGCATGGTAGGCGGTAGGGTGAGAAGGGACGATATGAGAGATGAAGTTCGTGTCTAGCAGCTTATGCACAAGTTGACGCCTGGTATGGTGATGAGCAATGTACTACAATGTATGAACCAACATCTAAAGAGCTGAGGACACAGCCTTAACGATATGAAATTTCAGAGAGGATGTTAAATGAGGATCCACTACCACGTATCTATCAGCGCACAATATGGTCGCGCCGTCGAGGAATGTGACTAGGTAGGCTGTGTCTTACGCTTACCACTCTCATGATTTTAGGTTGTCATGATACTACAAGCATTTACGTACGGGTTAAGAAGAAATGGTTTCCGAGCAACATCACAGAGATCAAGGCAAGAAAAAATATTGTAATCAAAACATTCAATTTTGCTATCAAATTTGAGAGGTGGAGTGGTCTCCATGGTATCTAGAACTTTTTGACAGTTAGCTTCATGACACATATAAAAGCAGTCGATAGCAAAACGTGAAGAATGGTGTTTGATCAGACATCCAAGGAAGAATAAACCCTCATCTGTCCCAGAAAAGGCTCGATCGGGACTCGAGTGGAAACTGCGAATTAAGAGGAAATTTTCATCATGCAAAACGGGAATGGTTGGTGTGTGAAATAGTTATTTGCAAACTTACGTTAGTTCTCAGGAAGCTTCGTGAAGCTGTTGAGTTAGTCGTATGGTAGTAACAAGTTCTTCAAATCTGTAACAGCGATGTTAGCAAGGCTGGAAAGCAATGCGCGTGCTAGAAAAGCTGATATTGGTTTGTGAAGTCAGACGTTGATACTGGCAAGTAACAGGCCTAGGGCCCGAACAGACAGAATTTCTTCATGGTCGATTCAGTTGGGAAAAGAAGACTTGTAACAAGTGTCATCATTCAGAGGGGGGAGGGAGTGCTGCGAGGCAGAAGTGAGGGAGTGGTGATTCTTACCATTCACATGCAGGGTGATCGTGAGGCTGCAGAGAAAATTTGCTAGCCAAACAAACCGCCAAAAGCAAACATCCAGCACAACCAACACATCGGCGAATCGCTCAAGCGAATCCGTTCAAAATCAAAACAGCTGCTCCAGGAAGACAGTCGTCGTGCGATCTCGCGCGTTGTGCTCGTGTGAAGAGGGAGGCAGAGGCGGTTTGTTGTTGTTGAGAAGGTTTGAAGCTTGAAGAAAGAAAATTGGGAGCCGCATCGAGAGAAGATATTGAAAGACAGTGCAAGAAAATTTGTCGTTTGCGCAGCACTGTGCATCTTGCACGTGACCGGCATCTTACCCTCTTTTGCCCTAGCGGCGGAAGCCAGTTCAAGGCCCGCTTCGACATCGCGATAGATGCATGAAGCAATTTGTCTTGTCCTCCACCTGTGATGGATGGGTAATTGATTGTCTGTCTTAGAATAAATAGGCTAATGAGGTCGTTAGCGTTCTCTCGTCATGATTCTGTGAGATTCTGCCAACTTTTCCGTCGAAAAATGTGCGTCCTCAGTATTGCTTTTTCTGAATTGCAAATTTGATCGCT